ACATATTTCTATCGTTCAATTTTAGTCAGTAAGATAAATCATAATACTCTAGGAGAGACAACGTCTGAGACGAGGAATGATGCTCAACAAAAACCAGTGATATCGCAAAATTAAGCTGTAAATCCCTCTAAGAGACAAAATTAATGTCAATATCATCAGCGTGATGTTCACCGGGCAATGTAGCATTGGTCAAGACAACTGCAAAAATTGCCGGCTGAACAGTACGAGAAGAATGCTAACAAGTACAGCTGATTAAAGTACCAAAAAAAAAATTCCATAAAATTCTAAATCTGTGGAGATAATCTCTTTCGGCGTGTGACTGGGGATTTACAGGTGAGAAACACGAACAAAAAATAGCACAATTATAACAGAAATAGCTTAGCTGGAGACGTAGAAAATTACACATTACAGAGGTTAACAGTGTTCACAAAAAATGTCAGTAAAAGTACACTGCGGCATGAAAGTACAGCGAATGTGTCACAGTGATTTGGAATCGAGAGAAAAAATTGCTTACCGATCGATACAGGCAACTTGCATTGTATCTATACGTTGGTAAAACAATTCGGCCGCTTGAGCTATTACCTAAAAAAACCTTGATAAATTAAACCTAAAAAAAAACAACGAAACAAAACAGGAGTATTTTTCGCTTTTAATATGCGGAACAAAGCTTCATTTTTCTGGTTTCCGTATATTTTCGTCCTTGACTTGTCCCCTTCATTTTCCCACAGTTACTTCATCAGCAATTTACTCGAATTCATACGCTTATTACACTCTTTTCTACGGCTGTTTTTCATACTTGCTTCATTATTTTACATTAAAACTGCAATAAACTTCCCGATAAAAAAGCGGACTTCGTCAATGCCGCAGTTCATCGATATGGGCACCAATAAATTACTCACCTGAGGCATGCTTTTGGTTTTGCAGAGTTCAATTAGAAGACTGCCATAAAATATCGGTCGAACGGGTGCATCCGGTAAATGAAATAATTGCGAAAATATCACCTCCAATATGACGTAATTTATAGGCACCAGCGTGCGTTTCTCGTAATCCAGCAATCGTGCCGCACTAAAATTTGTTAGTGCCCCAGGCATTAGGTGTAATAAAAGAAAGGCATATGTGCATGCAAATAAATTATAATAATTGGCCAACGCACGGGCTGCCCGTGCGAAGATGCGTTTTTTGCATGATTCCCCGCAGCTTTGTTGCTACCGGCACCGGTTTTTCCGGCAAATGCTTCTAGCTAAACAAACTAAGACTGGCCGCCAGAACTGTCAGGAAAAATCCCCTTAAAATTTCAGCTTTCTAGCTTCCGTGGCCCCTGAGTTAGCAACTTACTGGAACAAAAAAATTTTCACGGGCTCGTGCATGTTTACCAACCATGCCTGGGAGCTCGGTTCGAGCTGAATGAAACTTAGACGGACGGGGTACATCTTCTTAAAATTACATTCCTTTAGCTTCTCAGGTAACTGAGTTACCAATTTACACGAAAATTTTGGGGGACTCGTACGCGGGTACCACGCTTACCCGGGGGCTGGATTTGAGCTCATTAGCACCTGCTTGGACGGG